AGTGGGGTTCAGTGGCACTGTGCTGTGGCACCCTGTTCCCTCTTGAGTTCTGGCGACCCCCGTCTAGCCTATGTCAGTCCCGTACCCCAGACCAGTCCCCCCCTCTGACAACTTTCTTTGGCTTTCAGAACACTTTCCTGCCTTATTTATTTTTGACATTGTTCCACAATATCCTTGAGAAGGGTCAGGAGACTTCTTGGGTTATTCGAGGCTTGGGTATAGCCTTGGTAATATCAACAGTGTTTACCGTACAAGCTCAGCCGGATAACACTACACTAATCTGCGAATAATGAACGAGATTTTGGTAAGCATCCGAAATCGGGTAACGAGAGAGAGAGAGAGAGAGAGAGAGAGAGAGAGAGAGAGAGAGAGAGAGAGAGAGAGAGAGAGAGAGAGAGAGAGAGAGAGAGAGAGAGAGAGAGAGAGAGAGAGAGAGAGAGAGAGAGAGAGAGAGAGAGAGAGAGAGAGAGAGAGAGAGAGAGAGAGAGAGAGATGGGAACGTGGGAGGGAGAGACACGGGGCGAAACAGAACATGTGTACACCCAAAGACCCTCTCCAGTCGACAAAAGAAAACGTCTCGTGGACTGGTCAAAATAAGAAACAGATGAGAAGAATCGAGTAAGGGCGAGTCTCCTTCTGGGAATCGGCTTGTGGTAATTTCTCGGTGTTTCTAATCCTCTTAGGAGTTTATCTCCAGCGGGCCCCCGTGGAGAGTCTCAACCCGACGGGAGGAAGAAGAGGAGAGGTGAGGTCCTCATCAGGACCTCTGTCACCGCCCTCTTCCTTCCTGAAGATCACATTAATGGTATAATTAAGGGTTTTCATTTTGTTTGGCCTCAGTTTTAGTGGAAATTATGCTCGAGGCCGAGCGCTGGAACCTTCCAGGTTCTTCGTAGTTATCTCTAGCAAAGGAAACATGAAATAAATATCACGCTTTGAGAACTTCTCATTCAGGGAGACTAGATTACACCTATGAAGGGAGAGGGCGGAGTCCGTCATTAGCTTACCTACAGTTTAGAGCTAATGGCCTCTAATCCATGACTCCCGTCCCTGATGAGCACCTCTCCTGATCCCCACAGCAAGTTAGAGCTCCAGTCTTAGACCCTATTACGGGCTCACCATAGCCCGTGCTACATGGACATTTCGTTCTGAGTAGCTGAATCTTAAACAACAATTTACACCCCCAGACTGTCAACCACAGATATGGGGGGTCTGTGTGTCAATCACACACAGATCGCTTCGTAGAAACCTTCAATATAGAACAAGTACATGGACGGATAATCTAATCAAGATTTTAGAGAAAGTGGACTGGAAACAGACCATTAGAGGTAAAGGAGAAGATAGACCATATCAACACTTTCGGCAGCTTCATCCATGGGAAGAATCAAGTCTAAAGATAACAATTGAAGGATTGCCGGTTAGAAAAATCAGTTTGGGACTCGCAGAGACTCAATGCAATAATAGAACAAGAAATGGAAACCATCTCAAGACCTACAACCACTCACATCTTCACAGACGGATCAGTTGATCAAGAAAGAGAGACTACTGGGGCAGCAGTTTACACTAACAACCATGAAGTTTACTGGAGCATGGACAGTGGGTGCTCAACATTGCAAACAGAATTATATGCCCTGAAGGAGGCCATAGATTATACAATTAAGAATAATTTACATGATGTCATCATTCATACCGACTCTAAATCTTCGCTCCAGGCATTGTTATCCAGCCAACACAGAGATAATATACAACTCCTCACAGAAATCCTACATATAGGAAAAGAAGCCCACAATCTAGGGCTGTCAATCACCCTAAATTGGATACCAAGTCACATTAGCATAGATGGTAATGAAAAGGCAGACTCATTAACAACAACTGCCACTGCTTTAACTGTTGTAAAGGTAAAAATACCTCCAAGTTTCTCACAGATTAAGGAGCAAATCAAGAAGAAAATTCTCCCAACAATCAAAAGTCGCCACAGAGCCAAAGTAGCGGAAGGAAGATCCACTGCGATATGGTATGAACAAGCCACCGGGTACTTCTCTTTCAAGCCTGGCAAAAAGATATCCAGAGACATTGCAGTAGCCATACACAGACTCAGACTTGGCTACAAGTGCTGCTGGGAGGTACTAAACCCAATAGTTGAAAAGGGGCGCATCCGATCCCACGACTGTCGTCGCCCCGATCCCACGACTGGACGCGTGATTCTGTGGTCCCGGGTTCGATCCCAGGTGCTGGCGAAAAACAATGGGCAGAGTTTCTTTCACCCTGATGCCCCTGTTACCTAGCAGTAAATAGGTACCAGGGAATTAGTCAGCTGTCACGGGCTGCTTCCTGGTGGTGGAGGCCTGGTCGAGGACCGGGTCGCGGGGACACTAAAAAGCCCCGAAATCATCTCAAGATAACCTCAAGATAGCCCCTAAATTAGCAACATAGTTAAAAAGAGTGTCATATCTGTGGAACAGATGCAGAAATGCCGCTATTACATTACTCACTGGAATGTGAAGCAACTGAAGCCCTGCGCATCAAACTCAACATTCAACCAACAGGGACTACAAAGGGTAAAAAAAAACAGTTGAAGAATGGGACACACTAGTGAACATTGTGCACCAATATCCGCCACCAGGATGACGTTATTAAAACACAACACTAAAATAAGTGCGAAGGGAAAAGGAACCATCAGGGGAAAAGCGCCAAGCCATTACGACTATATAGCGCTGGGAAGGGTCAGGATAAGGATATGGGAATGGGACGGAGGGGAGGAAGAGGAAGGGGGGGGGGAAGAAATGGTGCCCAACCAATTGGACGGTCGGGAATTGAACGCCGACCTGCATGAAGCGCGATTATCGCGAATAACCGAACTCAATTACGGGCTCACCATAGCCCTTGCTACATGGACATTTCGTTCCGAGTAGCTAAATCTAAAACAACAACAACAACAACTTAGACCCCTTTACGGGCTATTCATGCCCGTGCCACTTTTTGGGGGGGTAGCTTTAATCTTAATCAATCAATCTTAGACCCCTGTTTCAAGTTCCCAAGTTACGGACTACAATTTCAGCGTCCTGAATACAATAACACCCTCTCCCCCCCTTCCCCCCCTAGTTCAGAACCTCACAGATAAATCCTCCCTCACAACCCCCCCTCCCCTCCTCCGTCACTTCCCCCCCCCTCCCTCCTCCCTTACATCCCCTCTCCCTCACAACCCCCCCCTCCTCCCTCACAACCCCCCCCCTCCCTCACAACACCCCCTCCTCCCTCACAACACCCCCTCCTCCCTCCCTCACAACCCCCCCTCCCTCCTACTCCCTCTCAGTTCAAGGTCTCCTGGTCTATCTCACCAAAACAATTATCACAAAAGGAAAAACTTGTAGATTAATTAGTCAGCAGCACTTGGCAGCCAAGAAGTGTGGACACTGGGAAGGCCTCGCATAATGCGGGTAATTCGACCGCAAATGGCGGACATCACTTTCTTTAGGGGAGATAATGTAATGTGGAGAAATAATTCACTGTAGCTATGTTTAGAAAAAAATAATCAAGGGAGGGGAAAGAAAAAACAATGGAAATATCTATCTTGAGGTCGTCTAGTTCGGAATAAAGAGTAGACAGGTTTTGGGTAGTACTTTTTGACAGTTTTTTTGACAGTAGACAGTCTTTTTAAGTTTTTTGACAGTAGACAGGTTTTTTTTCAGTTTTTTGACAGTAGACAGGTTTTTTTTCAGTTTTTTGACAGTAGACAGGTTTTTTTTCAGTTTTTTGACAGTAGACAGGTTTTTTTCAGCTTTTTGACAGGTTTTGACAGACTTTTTGACAGTAGACAGGTTTTGAGTAGACGCTACACGTTCGTGTAGTGATAGTGTTTGTGGGATATTTTGTTCGTATAGTTCGTGTTTGATAACAACTCTGACTCAGACATTCTGACCTTTGACAGATTTCTTTGTAACTTTAAAATTTTGATGATTTGACATAGGAAAACATACTCTGAAAATATTAATGCGAGAGTTAAGAGTAATTATCTGTTGGTATACGGAGCTGGATCCTCTTAACAGCTGTAATTACCTAAGTGTAGTTACAGGATGAGAGCTACGCTCGTGGTGTCCCGTCTTCCCAGCACTCTTTGTCATATAACGCTTTGAAAAACACACACACGCTGTGTGTGTGTGTGCTACCAGCTCTGGAGCTCCCTGGTGCTATAGTACTAGGAAGGGCTAGAGCTGATAACGCATATCACAGTGCGATAGTGATAGAGTACGGATCGTAATTAACGTTTTAAGATGCGGCAAGACAGGCTCTGTGCAGTTAAGCTCGCTTGTAAACAACACCACATTAGGACCTCTTGTTGCACATCTGTTCCACCTTAAAGCCTCTTATAAACACATGTATTACAAGATCTCTTGTAAACATCGCCACATTAAGACCTCTTGTAAACATATGCTCCACATTTAGACCTATAAACATCTACACCACATTTACACCTCCTGTAAACATCTGCTCTTCCTCCGTCCTGAAGGAGATTACCTCCCAACACCTCACTTCCTAAACGAATTTCCGGTAGAAAAAATTCCCTCGAAAGAATCCTGCTTAACCCCTCCTCCTCCCTTTACCCCATTTCCTCTCCCCTTCCCCCAATCTTCTCTCCCCCCTCAATCTTCTCTCCCCCCTCTCCGTCTCCTCTTCCTCCCTCTCATCTGCCCTATATCCTCCTCCTGAAATTATTTTCGGCCTGAGCCCCTACTGGAAAATAGATTTCTGTGCAGCATTCCCCTTCTCACCAGCTCTTTAGCTCCTATCAATTTATATTGCTTTACTTCATCATCAAATGGACCCATTATCCCACCCCTGGATCTCTCTTTTTCTCTACACACTAAGTGTCGTATATCTCTCTCTCTCTCCCTGGTTCTCTCTTTTATCTCATCTATTCCACTCTTTACCTCACCGTTCTCTTTCTCTCACCTCTGGTTCTTCCTCATACCTCACCCTTGGCACGCTTTCTTTTATACGGTTCACTTTTTTCTCACTCCAGGCACTCTTTCTTTCACTCCAGGCACTCTTTCTTTCACTCCAGGCACTCTTTCTTTCACTCCAGGCACTCTTTCTTTCACTCCAGGCACTCTTTCTTTCACTCCAGGCACTCTTTCTTTCACTCCAGGCACTCTTTCTTTCACTCCAGGCACTCTTTCTTTCACTCCAGGCACTCTTTCTTTCACTCCAGGCACTCTTTCTTTCACTCCAGGCACTCTTTGCCTCACGTCTCTTCTACTTTTTCTCACCCTTGACTCTTTTTCCCCCCTCACCTCTGGCACACTCTCGGCTCTTGTTCTGGTTGTTTGGCTCTCATTCTCTCTCCCCTGTTTCACCATTATGTCACCTGTGCTCTCAGTGCTCTTGTGTGAGTGTAAGGACGGAGGCATGAATCATAGCCTCTACCGGCAAGAGTTCCCCCACAACGTATTGATAACTCAAAATGTATTAAAGCTACAAGGAGACAAGATTTCTGAATTAGGGGCGGTTAGAACACATTTCAATTCAACATTATCAACACATCAATAACGGCTAAATTTCTCCGCGCTGCCAATGTTGTCCTTATCTGAGGCTATGACAAAGATAATTGGACAAATGTCAGTGGGAATCATTTTTTTCCGAACACAGAGGTGACATTTAGGTCCAGGCAACATCGTGAGCGCTCGAGAGGACGGCCTGAGTCACCAAGTCAAGATTCATTCCCTAAATCTAAAAAAAAAAAAAAATCCCTGTATCCTTCGTCCATTGTTGTTGTTAAAGATTCGCTACCTGGATCAAAGTTCCAAGTAGCACGGGCTATGGTGAGCCCGTAGTGCCTTTATCCTTCGTCCGTTTAATGCATCCTTATACACGCTTCCAGACAAGGAGGATTCAACCCCGTACGAGGGGGGAAAATATCATTGCAATAGTTTCACACGGCGACGATACGGCTGGGTAACTGATATCAGACAAGCGTCAGATTGATTAGAGTTCGTGTTTCAGTGCTGTCAAATTTGGCCGCCGGGGATGGCTGTGTAAAGTGTGGAGTGAGGTGTAGTTGTGTGGCATATTGGCCGCCGGGGATGGCTGTGTAAAGTGTGGAGTGAGGTGTAGTTGTGTGGCATATTGGCCGCCGGGGATGGCTGTGTAAAGTGTGGAGTGAGGTGTAGTTGTGTGGCATATTGGCCGCCCGTGTTGTGGCTCCGGTTACAGAAATGTGAATATAGGTAGACGGTGTGGCCACGTGAGCACATATACGGCCACATGAGCACACACACGGCCACGTGAGCACATACACGGTCACGTGAGCACATATACGGCCACATGAGCATATATACGGCCACATGAGCACATACACGGCTAAGTGAGCACATACACGGCCACATGAGCACACACACGGCCGCATGAGCACATACACGGCCACATGAGCACATACACGGCCACGTGAGCACAGTCCTCATGCTCATGAGCATATACACGGCCACATGAGCACATACACGGCCACATGAGCACACACACGGCCGCATGAGCACATACATGGCCACATGAGCACATACACGGCCACATGAGCACACACACGGCCACATGAGCACATACACGGCCACATGAGCACACACACGGCCACATGAGCACATACACGGCCACATGAGCACATACACGGCCACATGAGCACACACACGGCCACATGAGCACACACACGGCCACATGAGCACACACACGGCCACATGAGCACATACACGGCCACATGAGCACATACACGACCACGTGAGCACAGTCCTCATGCTCATGAGCATATACACGGCCACATGAGCACATACACGGCCACATGAGCACACACACGGCCGCATGAGCACATACACGGCCACGTGAGCACAGTCCTCATGCTCCTGAGCATATACACGGCCACATGAGCACATACACGGCCAAGTGAGCACATACACGGCCACATGAGCACACACACGGCCGCATGAGCACATACACGGCCACGTGAGCACAGTCCTCATGCTCCTGAGCATATACACGGCCACATGAGCACATACACGGCCACATGAGCACATACACGGCTAAGTGAGCACATACACGGCCACATGAGCACACACACGGCCGCATGAGCACATACACGGCCACATGAGCACATACACGGCCACATGAGCACATACACGGCCACGTGAGCACAGTCCTCATGCTCATGAGCATATACACGGCCACATGAGCACATACATGGCCACATGAGCACATACACGGCCACATGAGCACATACACGGCCACATGAGCACATACACGGCCACATGCGCATATCAGTATATGGATGAACGCATACACACACGGACGCATATTGACTGGTGCAGATGGGAGCCGATGCTCCACCTTGCAGTCAGTCACATCCAGGGTGAGTACGTTCACCAGCGTTCATAACACTCACCCCAAGTTCACTCTTTCACAAACTCATCAGCTGCTCCCCTCCACTCCTGCCTCCCAGACAGCTTCTCACTATTCTAATGAATCATACAAATCAACATGAGTTTTGGCATTAGAGCCACGAGAGAGACACCGTTGCTATGTGTCTCACGGCAATTGTCTTATGCCCTCAATCCTGCAATGATCGGTGTTAGCAAACCATCTCGTTCTTTGTGGCATAACTCGTTGAGTAAAATGTGTCCAATCTGTACAAGGTGAACATTTTACGTGTTCCCCACTTGAAGCCTTCCTTCTCCTAACCTTACCTTGCATGAACCGCCCCTCGCCCACCTTACCTTGAAATAATTGAGCGGTTCCACGTAACCCGTCCTCTTAAAAATAACGTCACTTTTGGCTCGTATGCGCGCTATGGCCAAATTTGGACGTAATTTGTACGTCCATATTCGGTCATACTGGCAAACGGCCAAAAGCGACGTTCTTTTTAAGAGGACGGGTTGTCCACGTGTATTATGTTAGGTGGTTAGCTGTTATACATGTTTCACGAGCCACAGCTATTTCTCCAGCAATCATGTTCAGAATTTGTAAACTTGTTGATGACCCTTAAAAAAAAAATTCTGTTGCCCTATTTGATGTGAAACTGTTGCTTTCGTACGTTAATCTGATTGATTGATAATTATAAAGAAGCTCCTTATCGCTTTTTTTTTGAACGACCTACGAATTAATAGTCCTGTAGAACGGTTTCCTGGCTTGGCGACTTCTTTTGATAATTACTTACTTATAAAAAGCTGAAGTTGTCTGTGAAGAAGACAAAGACTTTCTCCAGCGTAAGACCTCAGGGCGATCCCATAGCTACGGCCTCTCTAGTGGTCTGGGAAATGCCGAAATCTGAGCCAGAAAATGTTATGAATTTGATGATGTTTACGAAAGCCCTGAAGTTACTGTGTATTAAAAGAGACAGTTACGAGATGTTTAAAGCCACGTATCAGCAGCCAACACAACATAGGCTTCACTATGCACGGAATGACACTTGCAGAGTTGACTGAATACATGATGACAAGCTGCTCTACTTTATGGACATAATAATTCATCAATGAATAAAATAATCCATAAATGATGAATCTTAATATTATTTTATATTATGTAATAGTTCTAATTCCCGGAATTACATTTGTCATTATATTTTCACAATAATTTATCTAAACTCTTTGGTTGTCTCTTATTGACTTCTACAGGAACAGTTTTTTGTACTATAATGAAGGAATCTCATTTTTTTTCCGGGTGATTTCACGACTATGAATTGGTCTCGTAGACGCCAACTGGCTGGCAGGTCTCTCAGAGGCTGAGGGCCACGTGACCTTCTGTCTCGTGTCTGGAAGCTGACGCTAACAAACTTTCTGAGATTTAAAAGATTTGCGCAACTTCTCGCCTCATTCCCACGACGGAAGCTGAAGAATGTCTGCCGTGAATTGTTTGGTGTTTGCGCGCATGCGCCTTGGCATGCGGCGTTCAGCTGTGGTCTTGGTTTGTTTAGTTTTGATTAGAAAAGAGATGATTTCTTCACGATGAAGAGTCCCGACAATTTTTTCAGCCTGATTTGATAACTATGATCTCGTTCATCAGTTTGGTCTTGCGTCTATAGCGTCTATAACTATAACGTCTATAACGCAATCAATCTTGCGTCTATAACGTATGATAAATATAACCTTCTGTTTGTATATCATGTAAATTGGTGTTATTGTTTATATACTTTGGTTCAGGGGGGCTAGTTTTGGAAATTAATAATATATATATACATATATATATATATACATATATATATATATATATATTAGGCTTATATCAAGGTCCCACTAAGGTCAAACTATCGACCCTCCCTAGAATGCAATCCCCCACAACTGTTGCCTAACTTCTGGGGTACCTATTTACTTCTAGGTGAACAGAGGCATAAGAAGATATGAAAACGTGCCCAACCATTTGTTCCAATCAGGAATTGAACCCGGGATACCCCGAGAGTTTGAAACTAATGGATAATACGAGGAATGTAAAACTAATGAATAATACGAGGAATGTGTCCATGTATGGACCCTGAGGTGAGTGATCTGCTATTCTTAGCTGCTGCTATTTTCCCCCAGAGGAAGAGATGCAATGTTGCAGCCTCTCCACTTGACATTTAACCTAACCTAACCTAACCTATTCTAAACTAAACTAACGAAACATAGCTTAACCTAATCAAAATCTAACCTAGCCAAATATAACTCTGTTTTGATATCCCTCTTTGAGACTACATTTCAAATTTTCCTGAACGTATATGGCTACTCCCTCTCCTCGTCTAATATATCTATCTGTGTGAAATAGAGCAGTTTAACCAAATATAAGCCAACAACAAAGCCTAAACTAACCTAACTTCAACATATCTAATATTATTTAGCTTACTCTAACCTAAGCTAACCAAGCCTATCTTAATTGAATCTAACTTAACTGACCTTAATGAAATAAACCAAACCCATCTAAAAAAAACTAATATCAATCATCCTAGCCTCGTATAACTTAACCACATCTATGCAAACCTATTCTAACCTGACCAAATAGTGCAAATCACTGAAAATATAATTAAAAGACGTTCATTTCATAGCTCGGACGATGTATCCGCTTACCCCATGTAAGCGGATACATGGGTAAGCGATGTATCCACTTACCACTGTAGTTGTATACGCTCCCAATATTAATGGCGCCAATAAAACAGACAATACTAAACATTTTATTGAAAAATACACACACTAGAACACGATACAGAGGTTAATTAGTAGGTACAGAAGATTCATAAGACATAAAGCCACCAATACAGTGCGAGGACAATGTGTCACGAAGATACAGCTGTATCTTCGTGACGCATTGTAGTCTTTGAACGACCTTTAATAAAACAATGAAGACGGTAATCATG